GTAAACCGGCGTCAATACTCTCACTAATAAGTAACACGTCATCAATATACACCACAACAACGCCGCTGTTTATGAAAGAACGCAGGGTATTACTAATGATTCTTTGGAAAAATACTGGCGCATTCGCGAGTCCAAAAGGCATTTTCAAATATTCATAATGACCTTCTGGCGTCACAAAACCCGTGAGAGGAATCGAGTCATTATCTAAACGAATCTGATGGAACCCTGATGCCATATCAAGGGTCGTAAAATATTTACCTTTACCCAACCGGTCAATATGATCCTCAATTAACGGCAAAGGATATCTGTCTTTAATCGTAATTCTATTTAAGGCCCGGAAATCTACACACATTCGATCAGTACCGTCTTTTTTCTTTATCAAGAGTATAGGGCTCGCGTACGCAGACTCCGATTCTCGTATTATTCTTTTAGATAAAAGATCTGCAATAATTTCACGAACCTTCAACTTTTCATTAAAAGATAACCGGTAGGGCCTGTAATGTATCGGTGCATCACTGTTTAAACGGATGTGCATGCTACCAGTCGTCACGCTTGTAGTAGCCAGTCCGGTAATCATAAACTTTGAAAACTGATTTAAAATCTCCAAAAGTCTTTTGCGGTCATTTCCTACAAGTGAGGTCTTAATAGCGTGCTCATCCGCTTCTACCGTCGAAACTTTTGTCGGGACCGAATTGTAAATTAATCGTTGACAACCCTTAGTACGTATATATGTTACCCCCTCACGATTTAAAACATTGTACCGATTATGATAGGTGCATTCATACTTTCACTGGGCACAACCAATAAATCAAACTCAAGAGTGATTTCTTCAAACTCTATGGTAAGCGTTACGTAAGAGAGCACTCGAGTGATAGTATGACCAACACCTTTTAACTCGCGATAAGTGGATTTTGAAGAACACGAAAAATAACTCACGACAGAGGTGGAGATTAGTGAAACGTCTAACGCGCCACTATCTATCAAGACGTCAATGGGAATTCCCTGAATCACTCCCACCATAACGTCTCTAGAACTATTCAATTTAGGCAATGAGCAAAAAGGACAATGGCAGGTCCCCATACATAATTTTATTTGAACTGAAATGTTAGCGTTTAAATATCAAAAAATCCTTAACACTTGAGAATTTATTCTTGACCATTCTCATATCAAAATTACTTGCGGAAGAAGTCTAGGAAAAAAGATATTGGATTTTGAATGTTTCGAGGTTAAGTACTAACATATTGTTAATGTTTTGTTTGAAACTAGATGGCGTTGTGTGTCAGATAGCCGAAAATATTATTTTCATTATTATTACATTATTATACAGTATATGAAATAAAAAAAATTAAAGCATAACATCTATTCGAGTTTAACACTAAATTAAACAAAAATAAAATAACAAACGTGGTGAGTCCGGAACTTGACAGGATCTAAACCACAGATTAAGAGATATGTACTAAACGACGACGTATCGACAATTTGAAAATATCGATGTATGTCTATTTATGTGCCGTTATCAATGACAATGTATTTTTCTCATTACACTGTGTAGTGGAAAATAACGTAACTATATTCTATTTCTTTAGTGTGTTTAAAATCGTTTAAAGAGAGTCAAAAATATTTTAAATCATTTCTAATTATGTTGATTCAGTCACTCTACCGTACGAGTGAAGACGTGGGCAGAAGCAAATTCATAATCATAATAGTGAACCTTCGGTAAATATTTCAGCCAATGCTATAAGAATCGATTATCGATAAATTGTTCCATAATATAATATTGCCACCACGCATCCCTAGTCAGTTATACGTGATGGCGAATCTGACATTACGTACTTAGGTCAAATAAAATCTTCAAAAATATCTTATCTCTTATAAGACTTATACAACACATGGTGGTGTAATGATAAATCATAGAAAAAATTTTGATTAAGTTTACTGTGACTCGATTTTTTAAACGCTTAAGTTTTAGGTAAATATGTTTCTGCCATTGTTCTTTACGTTCGCTCTCCTCTGATCAGAACGTTGCTTAGCAAAACAATCCTTAATATGATGACCTATCTTTTTACAATACACGCAGGTAGTTTTCGATTCCAGTTTTATCTCACTATTAGTTGGCTTTACACTAGTAGACGGTATTACAGTCGTACTATTGGAGGGTACTTGATTCGTATTTACTGATAGTTTGTGCTTGGAGCGACAGTTAACTTGTTTGTGACCCATCAGTCCACATGAAAAACATTTAATCGGAATGCTTGATAAATACCGTTTGCCAATATGTGGTTTAACAAATCCTTTACTAATACCGCGGTCAGAACTAGAAGGCTTTTCGGGTTTATTATGCGCTGGCTTAAGGAAAGTAGCTAGATAATTTACTAATTCACAGGGCTTCAGATTACAATTCGTAGCAGACGCCTTAATATGCGGGTCATTAATACCACGTATGACGATCGCACTAATAAGCTCATCACTCAGTCCCTTCACTATTTTCAAACGCAATAAAGATCTACGCGCGTATTCAGCATACGTTGCATAATCGTCGGAACTCGTACTCATCACTTCATACAAAATATTCGCCACATCGATCTTGTTCACGCATAAAGACCTAAAATCTTTTTTAAAGTTACTCCATGATCGGTCCGTCGTGACCCAATCATCTAACCATGACTTAGCATCACCCTTAAGACAGTGCCCAATGCGCGACAAGCACTCAGCGTCACACCATTTGTTAAGGATTTGTGCTCTGTCTACCTCCTCAAACCAAAAATCAACATCATTCATGTTAGGGTCGAAATTCGAAACGTAATAATCACGAGAACTACCCCACCTTAAAGACTGAATAGCGTCTACGATTTTTTCAGTAGAATCATTAGGTTCTGTACGCGTTTCGATATTTGAAGATGTCGTCATGGTAGACCTACCTTCTAATGCGTTTAACCGCGTCATGATAACTTGTAACGATTCACGTAATTCCGAACCATGAGAAGAACCGTGGGTAGAACGACTACGATGCCGGCGGCGGTAACGTTTAGAATTATTATCATCACTCGAGTCAGATCGACTGCATGAACGTTTACGCCTACCCATTATAAAAGATCAATATACACCGAAGCAAATTACACAATATTAGCAGATAAACACCAGATATTAATAACACAAGTAACAAAAAGAAAAAGTAAAATCGATTGTGGGTTGAAGGATAACTTTGTCCCACTTCTGATGTAAGCAAAAACAGATTTATTTGATTAAAAAACAATTTAATGTTATACAGAATACGAAAACAATATCTGGTTATTTAACTCTAATACATAATTGAAATATTAAGGCTAAGTAAACTATTATAGTTACGTGATACACGACACAGAGATGCACCAGTCCGCACACCGCGAGGTCCCGAGCAAAAGTGACCGATCTTCACGATACTACTCGTCATTCGATAGTCTCATTCGAATGACGTCACACCGCAAAGTTAGGTACAGACCACCATTGGCGTACTTCACTCTATTCCTTCATTCCTTACAATATTATAATAATTTTGGTAAAATTGGTACACCTTGACTCTCTGTATACGATATTTCATGGTGATTGGTTGAGTAATTATGGTGTAAAAGCGAAACAAACTTGCACGATGATGAGAAATTGGTGATGCAGATGCCGGAGGTGATCAACGCGACGACGGGCAAGCTGGAGAGTGGGTAGCCCTCTCTGCTGTGTAAGCAGAGCATGTTCGCAAGGTGGCTGTACCTCGTGCAGCGGCTGCCACAGGTACCCGCTTGCCTTACACAATTTACTTTAGCCCAATAGGAAACTGCCTCATTAGAATTACTTTTAGTGATTATATTTTTAAACCCCGAGGCAATTAAGTGTTATGAGTTTAAGTGTGTAGCTTGCAGCTCCTAAACCGATAGATCAATTTTGATTTAAATCTTTTATTTGAATAGTAACTTGATTGTGAGGGTTCTTTGCTATGATTGAAGAGAAATTGTTTACTTTTTTGAAGAGAAATTGTTTACTTTTTTTAAGAGCCCTGCTGTTTTTTCTGCTATTTTTTATGATATCATATTTGCAACATGAAATACCTAATTCCTTTGTCGATACTGTATTGAGGGGTAACGAATGTTCGATTACTGCTACATCAGTGGCGCTCCAGTCCCCGCCCCTCCCATTAGAAATACTTGGATGCTTTAATACATGCATCGGCAGGCCATCATTACATCCTGGGTGGCTTGCCCGGGGTGATGGCACGTCCTCACTGATCACTTGGGTCCCTTGATTTGCAATTGCTTGTGGATGGCGATCCTCACTTTGCCTTAGGTCACTTGTCTGACCCTTATATCACTAACAAATGTATTACTATCAAAATTAAACCTTATTCATATGTGACAAGAGAGTCTTGTTAAAGTGAGCCATCTATTGTAGGATTATATAAAGTGTTATCTTCCAAGTACGTGGTCTCTAAGAGACTCACCGCGAGGTTACTGTTGCAGAGGACCGAGCCGGGATTCGAATCCGCGCACCTGCCGCAGAACATGAACTGTTTACTGTACGAGGCGAAGCAACTGTTTCCTACGTACCAGGTTTGTTCTTTCAAGCACATTTATACGTGGGAATGCCACGCTTCGACTCGTTTGTATATCGAAGCCCAAGTATACCTTAGCCTTAGCCCCCCTTACTTCTGAGAGGGGAGGGGGTAGCAACGCACTTGTGAGTCACTTATCATCAGGTGACCCGTCAGCTTGTTTGCACAAAAAATATTTAGAAGCATAATTATATTCAATTCTACAGGCTGTTGCAGAACGATGTATTAAAATTTTATTGCAGTATCAATCAATGAATCAATCAGCCTTCCGCAGTATACTGCTGAACTTAATTTCCCCACGTGCTCGTGCTCCACTACCCCCGAGTTTCCGCCTTCTTTATCCAAGCTTCGCAGAACACCTTACGGGTTACACGTACTGTTACCTACGCATAAATTAATTTAACTCCGTAGTTCACAAAGCAAAATGGACAATAATACCAAGTGTCATAAGTGCCATAACGGGTTCAACAAAGATGATGAAGCTACATACATTGTTTGTAGTAAGTGTGGCCTATACTGGCATTTTATATGTACCACGTTGCGTGCGAGTCCACGTGACCCAACTAACTGGAAGTGCGAGCTTTGTAAAGTTGACACTAATAAAAACAAACCTAAGAAGCCTGAAACCTCGCCCAGCCCGCTCAGTGTAGTGGACACCAATCAAATAATAAATGATATTAAGGATTTACGTAAGGAGATGTGTAGCATTAAACAGGATATGAGTGACCGAGAACAGAACAATCCACAAAGCGTTGAAGGTATTAGTTTGGAACAGCGGATATCAATAGTCGAAGCCAAGATATTGGACTTAGAAAACCTATCAGACATTATCAAGGCTGTCCAGATGAGCGTATACGCCTTAGAAGAACGCCACCATATACTGGAACAATCTGAAAGAATTTGTGACCTCGAACTTCACGGTGTTACGGAATACAACAATGAAGAGTTGCATGACATGGTGGTGAGGCCGCACAGTCAGCAGGCGTGGCAGTGTCTAAAGCAGATTTAAAATGGGTAAGACCGGCCGGATCTAGCGAAAGTCATGTAAGACGCAAGCCCAGAGCAGTGATTGTTAGATTCATCGATCGTGAAATAAAAAACAGCCTATTGCGTGCCATTCGGACAAGGCGCGGTCTAAAGATGTCCGACCGTTGGTCATATCGATGATAATAACAGAATATACGTTTCTGAAAACCTAACACCGCATTTCAGAGATATATACCGGGAAGCAAAGAAGGTAACAGGATATCAATATGTATGGACCTATAACTGTAAAACTTATATGCGCAAAACTAACGTCGATGATAAGATTATTATTAGGTCAAAAAACGAATTAAAATCGCTTTAGACTTTCGCTTTTTGGTGTGTATTATCCTATGTTTACCACTCCATTACTACTACGTCAATTTAATTATGGGCACAGCAAGGGAACAATCTTATCATGCTGCCATTGTCCTGACCACCACTTGCTCAAACAATAATTATTTCAATAAATACGACACAAAATCCAAACACTCTGCACTCTATACATACAATATCATTTGTAAGAACAACATAACAGTCGAGTATACTCCTTTTTGCTTACAGTCATTGGAACCGGTCCTAAGCCGTCGCTTACTTAATAGATATTATTTTGCATGTACCCCGCATATTTTTAGATTCAACAATTATGCTACTATCTTTTACAAATATATTTACGTAACTTTTCTACATTACTTAATAGCGCTTGCCTTTATTGTAAATACGGGTACCTATTTATTCCTCCCCTGTAGTCTATAGTCCCCCTAGTCGCCATGAATTGTTCTAAGACGAATAAATATTTTACACTAGGGTTATTAAATGTTCGTTCGATTAATACGGGTTGGGACGAGTTAAGAGAATCATTTAGAAACCACGAATTTAGAAATCACCACCAAGATGCTATGTTGTCGTCATTAGTCAGAGATGTGACTGAACTCAAAAACCAGTGCAGGGAGATCCAGCAAAAAAATTTGAGTTAGAAAAATCGATGGCTTTTGTCAATAGCGGTTATAAGGAAATAAGGAAGCAAGTAAATGAGGTGGAAAAACATGGAAAAGAAAGAAAGCAATCGGTTAACCAATTGGAACAAAAAATCATAGATATAAATTTACAATCTAGACCAGCGTCAATTGAATTACATAATGTTCCATTTAAACAGAATGAAAAAGTTGACGATTTAGTTTCTATCATAGCTAGCATCCGTCCGTTGTCCGTGTGGTGACGGATTAAGAATACAGAGAGTCACCACCCCTATTCATCCCGTGGGTGTCGTAAGAGGCGACTAAGGGAGAAAACTACGCAGGACAACAACACTGCAGAGAGAAGGAAAACTTGAAACAAACCCTATACCAACCCGTCTGGCCAGCGTGGTATAGTAGGCCAAAACCTCCTTTCTAAGGGGAGGCCTATGTCCAGCAGTGGACTATTAAAGGCTGTTGATGATAGCCAGCATCGGCAGGGCGGTAGATTTGGAGCTTCATGAGTCAAACCTACGAGATATATATCGTCTTCCCGGGAGACCAGGTATATCTCGACCAATAGTGGCGGAGTTTACCTCAGTATCACGCAGAAATAATCTGTTGTCAAATATAAGGCGGTATAATAAGGAGCGACCAGTATCTGACAAGCTGAATTCTCACTCAATTGGCATGTCAGGAGAAAAAATTCCTATATATGCGGCAGAATATCAAGTCCAATCAGTTAGAAGGCTTTATTATGAATGTCGTCAATTCGCTAAGACGCACAAAATGTCGTGTTGGAGTTTAAATGGCAAGATTTTTATACGTAACAATCCACAAGATAAGCCAATTCAAATTAAATCTGAACCATGCTAATTGATAATAAATGACTACTCTGCTGTTTATTGTCAATAGTAACTTATTGTAATAGTTTCATTGATAAGCATGATTTTTTTTAATTTATTCTTTTTTGTAAATTTTCTTTTATAACTACTTAAGTATGCATGTTTTTTTCCAAACACGTATTTATTGAGATTCAGATCATACATTACATCTTAGTTATACCCATGGCACAGTTTTTTTTATAATTTTTTATTTACATGACCATGGCTAAAACTGTCAAACGTACACACCTAAAATTAGGTTTTCTCAACGTAAGATCACTTAATACGGGGTAGGATGAATTACAGGCTTCAATACAAATCCAACAACCTGATATTTTGGCTTTGAACGAGACGTGGCTTCAGGAAGACGCCGTAAAATATGCTCCTTCTTTCTCTGGGTATTCCCTAAAACACAGGTCACGCCCGGGTGATAGAAGGGGCGGGGGAGTAGGCTTTTATGTGAAACGGGGTATTCGAGTGCATGTACGATCACACCCGGAGTCAGCATTAGAACAGCTATGGCTCGAGGTCTGTCTGCCCTTTTACAAAGTGGCGGTCGGAACTGTTTATAGGTCTGAATCCATAATATCAGTAGGAAAGGCGATTGAGGCCCTGGCTGAATCTATACAATGTTTTGTTTATTGTAAACATATAATTATACTCTCAGATTTTAATGTAAATGTGTTGGAACCACAAAATTACTTTACTAAAGAGCTTAACACCTTTCTTACACAACACGATCTCGAGCAAATGGTTAAGGAACCAACTCGAATTACGGAAGTCTCTGAATCTCTCCTTGACTTAGTTATAACATATACACCGGATCGGTGTTTGAACATAAGTGTACATCATAACCAAAATATAAGCGATCACGCTATGATTATAGCACTCTTTGACATAAGGAAGCCAAAACCCTCGCCTTGCTTTAAATCTGTGAGATTATTTAAAAATATAGACCTCAACAGTTTTAATTCTGATCTAGATATTAGTCCCTGGAGAAATATCTCGAAGGAAGATGATGTTAATACTATGGTTTATGTGTTTGATGCATATATTAGTCACTTATTCGATATACACGCACCTTTCAAACGAATAAAGGTAGGCAATGTTCCTACCCCCTGGATAACAGACGTAATCAAAATTATGATGACCCTCCGTGATGAAGCGCTGGCCAGGTTTCACAAAACAAAATCAGAGGCACATAAAAATTATTATAAGCAGCTAAAAAACCTCGTAACGTCTAGTTTGAGACAAGAGAAAAAAAGCGTACTTTAAGTTCTATGTTAATAATAACTAAAAACCCCAAAGATATGTGGAGACACTTAAAAAGTATATCTATTCTTAATGATTCGTGTGAGCCCTCTATACCAGATCATCTTAACGTTGCGGACGACATTAACAATTTTTTTCTAGATTTACCCGGTAATACGAACGCAGATTTGGATACATTGCAGTATTTCAAAAATTCAAAGTTAAATGAAAATCATTTTGAACTAAAGAAGATTTCGGAGAAGAACGTTATGGAAATAATAAATACGATAAAGACTAAGGCTTATGGACACAACCTTGTTAACATTGATATGATCCGAATGACACTACCTAAAACGCTGGAAACAATCACCAGTATAATCAATAAATCCATAGAAACGAAAGTATTTCCCGACTCGTGGAAAGTAGCTCTGGTAAAAACTATTCAAAAGACTAGACACGTTATACAAGTTAAAGACTTGAGACCAATAAGTATACTTCCTGTCATATCAAAGATTATAGAGAGAGTTGTCGAAAAACAACTAAAACCATACTTAGAAAGCAACTCCATTTTACCACTCCATCAATCAGGATTTCGCTCAGAAACTGCAACGGCTCTGACTCAAGTTACAGATGACATACTATCCGAGTCAGATGCTGGTAAAAGTACAATTCTAGTATTGTTAGACTTTTCTAGGGCATTCGATTGCTTAAATACAGAACTCCTTCTTGCCAAGTTAATTCACTATGGAATTCCTACAGAAAGTTCCTGTTGGTTCAGATCTTACCTCACAAACAGGTACCAACAGGTGATTACAGATGATGGGCAGGGCAATAACGTTAAGTCGAAAATGCTGCCCACCGTAAGAGGAGTCCCGCAAGGCTCTATTTTAAGTCTTTTACTCTTTGTAGTATTTACAGCTGATCTACCAAACATTTTAGAATACTGTAAAGTTCATCTATATGCGGACGATACGCATATGTCATTTAGACCCTCCGATACCAGCCAGGCCATAGATCACATATCAAGTGACTTGGAGCGAATCTTTGATGGGTCTAAGAAAAATACTTTAGTGCTTAACGCTTCGAAAACAAAATGGATGTTGATGGGTACCAAGCATCAAATAAAGAGTGCAGGCGGTATACCCATAAGACTTAATGGGGAAGTACTTGAAAGACTTTCTGTTGCAAGGAATTTGGGGCTCTTAATGAATAAAGAGCTACGGTTTTCAGAACATATTAATAATCTGATGAGGAATGCCTTCTACAGTTTTGTGATTGTGATTGTGATGTTGTATATGGACCCCGGTTTCGTCAAAATACCAAATAATGCATTCAACGTGTCCAAAACGCCTGTATACGCTTCTTGTTATAAAGTCCCTAAATGGGCGCACATCTCCCCAATTATAAATGAAAAGAGACAACTTAATATGCAATCGCGACGTCACCAACATTTGTTATGTTTCACACATAAGATAATCACAAGCAAATGTCCACTATACCTATACGATAAGTTATCTTTGTGTGCGGACGCGCACAACTTGAATACTAGGTCTCAGGTAATTTTAAAACTTATCATACCGAAACATAGAACACAGGGTTATAAAGGCAGATTCAAATACGCTGCATCAAAGATTTGGAACAATATACCACCTCCTTTTCGATCTATAAAAAATAAATGTAAACAATTTATAAGTGAAATTCAAAAACATAATACTCGACTACTTTAGATATGCATTGATTAAAATATATTATTATGTATTGTATTCTACTAAAGGAATACTATAACATACAATACTATAAATTATGTATTAATACGTACTTAATTAATTTACACTCCTTATAACATCTATGTAATAAATGCCCTTTCCCCACTGCCCATACTCATTGTGCTTTAA